AATAAGTCTCAATAAAGGATTTATATTGGACAATTTGCATACAATGCAATATGTGTTCATTGTTATGGTAATTCGCATATTGTTTATGAACATCACAAAGCAGTAGGGTTATGTTCTGTGGAACCCCTACTCATGAAATGTTTATAATGGATTCTATTAAACTATGGGAATCTTTCAAGTCTAGCTCTTGTGAACAGCTCACATCAAGTTGTAAATTGTAAACAAACTTTCATGTAAAATAATTACTGTAAAATACTTTATTTTCGCTTGGAATTAATTTTCGCTGAAGAGAGAATTCAGTGAAAATAAAATCCAGTGAAAATACCGTTTTTCCTATATTTTACATTCAACTCGTCAAAAATCAGTGAAAATAAATACCATACAAAACACCAAAAAAGTCTTTTCATCGAAAATGGATTCCAGCTAAAATAAAGTATTTTACAGTAGATAATAATTGCACAGTGTATGCAATAGAAATAACATGTTTTTATCTTTAATAAATTGTCTATACAGCTGTTGTTTTTGATATTTATTCCAGAAATGTTACTTCTTACTATACTTTTGGAAAAAAAATAATTATTTACAGAATCGTTGAACACTTCCCTATATAGCCGTCAAGTAACTCAAAACAAATAACTATGAGTTGAGGACCATGCTGAGTTGGCATGAATTGAATTACAGAAGAAGGAGTTTTTTTTATTTCTGTCTTCAGACAAGTGAATTTTAAAACTCTTTGAGTGCTGTATCTTTCCCGCCAAAGTTTTGCTGTAACATTTTGTACATTTCAACATATTTTTTTTTATCATTTCTTTGTTAAATGGTAATTTCTCATAGATTATAAATATGGAAATATTTAATATGCAAGTTTACTTTTGAATGACGACAACAATTAATTTTGCCATTCAAAGGTGATTAACCTTTTTCTTTGACAAATTTAAACATTTGGTACATACATGCTTCATGTTGCGATGTGGATGGAATCTTATATGGAGTTGGACTGATTACCACACATTATAAGCCCAGCTCCTAGGTTGAAATGTATAGCTAAGTTATGACAATACAAGGGTTTCTAACTACAAGTCAATACTCCTGACTTTATACATTCTTGCAGTAACCTCGCAATAACCTCATATTATGGTAAAACCGTTTACTGCATCTCTTTTATTTCAGTTTTCATTCTATATTATGTAATTGATGGAGTGTTTCGAGAGCGGCCGTATGAGTTGGCAGTGTTCGTTATTGGTGTCGCTTTTATTATGATATACTGCATCACTAATTATATTGGAACATTTGCAGAAGATAAGTTAAATGTAATAAAATTGGTAAGTAATCCTAATCGTGCAAATGCCATGGTAACAGAAGAATGGTATTTTCTCATACATATAGTGATGGTCTTTTTCCTAAATTAAGGAAGACAAGTTTAATTTATTATTTGGAAATTTTTTACCAATTTTTTTGTATTTTTCTACAATTTCTTTCTTAATTTTGGTCTTAATTATAATTATATTGTCTACACGATATGATGGCAATTTTTTATGAAAATCAGGAAAAATTATACTAGTTTTAATTGTAAAGGTGAAAAAATTTGACTTTGGTATTCAACGAGTTAAAGGTCAAAAGGTTAAAGATCAAAGGGATAAAGACTTTCACATTTTTGATACAAACAATATGTGACTCATGATATTCACAAATTAAAAATTGTTTTGACTTACATACACACAACTGTGTCATTTGTGTAAGCACATGTGAGCTACTAGTAGAACAAGTATGGTTATATAAATAAAAGTCATGAATTTTCCAGAATGTTTGTTTTAGATGAACTTGATAAAAGTATCTGATGCGATAACATGCCCAAATATTGACTGATATGAGAATTGATTGGACAAACACTTCCTTCAGACTTGCTCGAACAAACATTACTATGTTTTCCGGCAGAGTTACCCCCATTTTGTCACTTGATCACGCTGCATAGCATTTACATACAGTAGCGACATTTAGAGTGAAATATTATTAACTGATTTCAGAAATTTCACACTATTAAAGCATGGCGATATGCATGCTAAATTCTCTGCACTCGCGATGGTTCTGTTTTTACTGCTGTGAAAACAGAATTTCACGCTGGGTAACAAAAATTACTTGCTACTATAATGACAATAAATTATTATAATGACTGAAAATTTATTTCTAACAAATCTTGTTAAGGAGGTTCATATTTCTGCCAGTTTTGAAAACTAACAGTGGCCAATAACTACAATGTGCCTCCTCTGACTCACTCAGACGCCACATCAAATTAGCATATGATTTGTAAGCGTATCACATTTTGTTATTTTGTCATTTTAACTTATGGTGGTGTGACGAAAAGGTTATCACCTGATATCACTTATTAAAACTGGATGATATTCATTTCTTTGTGGGCTGTATTCTCTACCACTTGCTTTCAGTTCATGAATTCCATGTACCCATGACATCACTCTTATCAACCAGCTTTATCAACAAGTAATACATGTAGCTGATAAAAACCTCATACCTCCCCCCCCCCCAGTAATAACAGCTGTTGTACAGGTGATGATATTACAGTAAATGCAAATAATTTTTACAACATGGGTCGGTCACCTTAATCTGGACGGAACAAAAACTCAGTTAATGAAATGCAAATTTCAGAAATCTACAAAACCGGGAAAAATCACAAACTTGAATCTATCTGGCAAGAATTTGAACGAGTAAAATTTGGGATTTTGTAGATTTCTGAAATTTGCATTCCAAAAAAAATGCGAAACATGAGGAGGCCTAATAATCCAAAAAATCTAGAATTAACTTAAAACAAAATCATAGTCTAGTCATAAGAACCAATCAGTGATGACCTTATGTTCGGTTAGGATTCAAAAAATACCAACCAATATTATAATAGTAAATATGGGTAAATTGGTTGAATTTATTATTATATTATCACTGCCATTTATACACTACCAGCTGGCTGTACATAATAATGCCTCATTTATATAATTATTAAGGTCATTTGTGGCAATTAAACATATTATTAAATAAGAATAATAAAAATATCATGTTTTTTTTTAGCTAGTACGATTTTGGTGGGAAAAAAGGTGTCTGAAAACTCACTGAAATAGGCTTTTTAAAATGATTTCTTTGGACATTCATGTTAGCACATTATTTCATGAAAAAATATTAAATAGTATTTGTCAGAATTTTCGAATAATAATTTTTACCATAGAAACCAATGTTAAATGGCTTTAAAAATAGCCATTCTCATGGGAGTTTGACATATTTTTGTGAAGAATGTATTTGAGTGACAATACAACAGCATAAAATATAACCATATGGTAAAAGTCAAGGTAATCTATCTACCAACTACTAAATCCAACTACCTTAGATGCACCACTTTCCTTGACACAATGTAACGTCTACCACCTCAGTACCATGTATTTATAATGTGTTTCTGATAAAGGGGATCTTTCTTATATTTATCTAGATTCGTTTAGTGTTGATTGCTGTCTTGGGGCCAGCTGATATCGTTCTCGGGTGTTATCTGACCAGACAGTATTACATATCTAGAAATCTAATATTTAGAACAGTTGGAGCGAGTGCAGAGCTACAAGGTAAATGACACATATAATATCAATGGCAGATGCCATGTAGATTTCATTGAAGACACATGAGGCATAAATGTGACTGTATATATATATTCATGCAGTTAAAGCAGGGGAGTCGTCACCTGCGCATACGTCAGATGGCTATAGCGTGTCATTGTTCACAAACAAGCGTCTACCCATGAGCCTTTGTGTTTTTAGTGTGTGTTGTTATTGTTGTTTGGGACTCGCAGGTGATGACCCTCTCGCTTTAACTTTACAAATGCACTAAAATAGATAGCTAGACATTGAAATCTTTCATATGAACATGTTTGTTTCATCTTGCAAGATAACAAGCCTATGTCCAATAAACTTTTCCTGCTGTCAATTCCAATTCAGGGATTGCGTTAATCCAATATTCTGCTTCGTCGATCCCTAATACTAGAGTGGGAGCCCCATTTTAGAACAAGTAGGTTTCACATTTCCAATAATGTGTCACAGAATATATTCCTCTTCATTTTTCTTATCAGGACTCTCTTCACTAAAATGATAACACAATCCCTGACTGTTTGGTAACAGAATAGAATTCTAGAATAAAAAATCAAATATCATCATTTCTCTTTTACTCATTATGAATGTCAGCAAAATTTAATTGTTGCCATGACGATGTTCCTTGCATTGCAGATATATGCAGTTTGATGTATTTCTGTGAAGCTCTACTGAAATTTGATTTTCAACTGGAAGTAAGTGATAGCATTTATTATCACATCTTACTGTTGTTATGCATTCTTTGATTGGTTGAAACTTGGTCACATGACATCGGTAATAGCATTTATTATCACATCTTACTGTTGTTATGCATTCTGTGATTGGTTGAAACTTGGTCACATGACATCAGTGATACATGTATTATCACATCTTACTGTTGTTGCACATGCTGTGATTGGTTGAAACTCGGTCACATGACATAAGCGATAGCATTTACTGATATTAGAGCACTTTATTAGAGCACAGAAGGTTATTCACCTGACACTTGAAAAGCAATAATTATAACATGTTCTTCTTGAGCCAATATTAGGGCTGTAATATTTTTATAAAATGTATTTCAGAAAATCTCTAAAATAATTACATATATCATCAGTTGGTAATTAACCCAGTGGACCTTTTGCAAAAACTTTGAACAAAATTCTTTGCATAGCAGCAGTTCATAAAGAAGCAACCCTGAATTATGCATGCATCAGTGGACCACAGATCCCCCAGATGTTTTTATTCTAAACCTTGTTAATGATGCAATATGAATGTGTAATTTTGTAATACTGCTGGTTGATGCTGTGTATTGTCTGATACTTGGACTATGATTTGATTATCACGAACTGAGAACACTGTTGTTGCAGCACTGTGTATTTATTTCATTAGACAATAAAATACTCTAATACGCATGTACTCTGGTTGTTTTTTTTACATACAATAACAACAACTGCATATGCGTATAGTGGTTTTGAATTTTCATCAAATGAAAACTGTTGTGTCCTGTAACCACAACCTTTTTTAGTTTATGATAAATCATAGTCAAATTTGGTCTAAAGTACTGTAAAAGGGTTAATTATTCACTGGGTTTTAAATGTGCTAAATTAAAACCCAGTGAATATGTAAAATTTAGCATAGAACACATTATCTAAGTGATAAAACCGTGAATTTAAAACCCACTGAATATGCCTGAAATGGTAAATCAGCGAAATTTAAATCCAGTGAAAAGTAGTCATTTTACAGTATCCATCGAACAAACTTATTAAAAAATACTTAAATATCAACCAATCATTTTGACAACATGCTCTATGACTGCAATTTAGAGACATTATAGTGTGTCTACTAACTGTTGTCATTATATCTTACTCACATTAATTACCATTCATAACTCTTGATACCAGCAAATAATATTGACCCTGTATGACCTCTCACTTTTGACCTCTCTTTCTGTAGGTTAGCATGTTTGTTCTCGTATTAAGTGCAGGAACAGATAATGTGGAGACATTTGATTATGTTTTATTGGTTGTGGGATTGGTGTATGGACTTTTGTGGAACACTATGGGATATGTTGCTGTAAGTTTAATTTTAACTATAGAAACCGCAATACTTTAAGTTGCTTACTCTAACCACCAAAGTTGCTTAAAGTGTTTATTGATGTTGTACTCGTTAGAATTCTTTGATTAATCTTCATCTTTATGTTTACTCCAATTTGATTATCATGTCACCAGAATATCATTTTCATGTTGAATTTTTAAATTCAAAAACTTATTATTCATTTCCAGATTCGGTATGAAAATAAAGCTTTGGTCTGGACGTTTTTAGCTTTCAGTGTCTTTGGACCAGCTTATATCATTTACAAAATGGTGGATGTAAGTATCTATGGAAACAGAGTTGGGGTAATGTCTAATTAGCTGGGGTAATATCTAATTACCTGGGGTAATGTCTAATTACCCGGGATAATGTCTAATTACCTGGGGGTAATGTCTAATAACTTGGGGTAATGTCTAATTACCTGGGGTAATGTCTAATAACTTGGGGGTAATGTCTCTCTACCTGCGGTAATGTCTAATTACCTGGGGGTAATGTCTAATAACTTGGGGTAATGTCTAATTACCTGGGATAATGTCTAATAACTTGGGGTAATGTCTAATTACCTGGGATAATGTCTAATTACCTGGGGTAATGTCTAATAACTTGGGGTAATGTCTAATTACCTGGGGTAATGTCTAATAACTTGGGGGTAATGTCTCTCTACCTGCGGTAATGTCTAATTACCTGGGGGTAATGTCTAATAACTTGGGGTAATGTCTAATTACCTGGGATAATGTCTAATAACTTGGGGTAATGTCTAATCACCTGGGTAATGTCTTATTACCTGGGGAATGTCTACTTACCTGGGTAATTTCTTATTACCTGGGGTAATGTCTCTCTACCTGCGGTAATGTCTAATCACCTGGGGTAATGTCTAATAACTTGGGGTAATGTCTTATTACCTGGGGTAATGTCTAATTACCTGGGATAATGTCTTATTACCTGGGATAATGTCTTATTACCTGGGGTAATGTCTCTCTACCTGCGGTAATGTCTAATCACCTGGGGTAATGTCTAATAACTTGGGGTAATGTCTAATTACCTAGGGTAATGTCTAATTACCTGGGGTAATGTCTAATAACTTGGGGTAATGTCTTATTACCTGCGGTAATGTCTAATTACCTGGGATAATGTCTTATTACCTGGGGTAATGTCTCTCTACCTGCGGTAATGTCTAATCACCTGGGGTAATGTCTAATAACTTGGGGTAATGTCTAATTACCTGGGGTAATGTCTAATAACTTGGGGTAATGTCTAATTACCTAGGGTAATGTCTAATTACCTGGGGTAATGTCTAATAACTTGGGGTAATGTCTAATTACCTGGGGTAATGTCTAATAACTTGGGGTAATGTCTAATTACCTAGGGTAATGTCTAATTACCTGGGGTAATGTCTAATAACTTGGGGTAATGTCTTATTACCTGCGGTAATGTCTCTCTACCTGCGGTAATGTCTAATTAGCTGGGGGTAATGTCTAATAACTTGGGGGTAATGTCTAATTACCTGGGATAATGTCTAATAACTTGGGGTAATGTCTAATCACTTGGGTAATGTCTTATTACCTGGGGAATGTCTACTTACCTGGGTAATTTCTTATTACCTGGGGTAATGTCTCTCTACCTGCGGTAATGTCTAATCACCTGGGGTAATGTCTAATAACTTGGGGTAATGTCTTATTACCTGGGGTAATGTCTAATTACCTGGGATAATGTCTTATTACCTGGGGTAATGTCTCTCTACCTGCAGTAATGTCTAATCACCTGGGGTAATGTCTAATAACTTGGGGTAATGTCTAATTACCTAGGGTAATGTCTAATTACCTGGGGTAATGTCTAATAACTTGGGGTAATGTCTTATTACCTGCGT